TGACTTAAAATTCAGTAGACCCAGGGAAAAAAGTGAATCAGATCGAAACCCTAATAATGTATTTAAATACCTATCAAGTGGTTAAGACGCTGAACTGCAGGCTGAGGAAGGTCAGTAGTTCAGCAGTTCGAGACACGGGTGCCGCATGACGGAGTGAGCTCCCATCTCTAGTTCCAGCTCCTGCCAACCTAGCAGTTCGAAAGCAAGAAATTGCAAGTAGATAAATAGGTACCACTTCGGTGGGAAGGTAACAGTGTTCCGTGCGCCTTGGTGTTTAGTCATGCCGGCCACATGACCACGGAAACGTCTTCAGAGAGCGCTGGCTCTTCGGCTTTGAAACAGAGATGAGCACGGCAACCCTAGAGTCGGATTCGACTGGCTTTCGAGCAAGGGAACCTTTACCTTTACCTTTTTAACAAAGGACAAAGTTATTACAAAAAAGAAGAATCTGTTTGACAAATAGGGAGTGGTACAGATGCTTCTCCAATTCCTGATCTGAAATCAGTATGGAAAAAGTCACACTCACTTTATTCCCCCAAGGGTGGGTATGTTATCATACTTTCACACAGGGCATCTGCGCTGGCCCTCATTTTGTTTATATCTGCTAGGCGAGGGACCGGCAGAATTTGGCGGTTCTGACAGGAAAGCTGGGGACACCTGCTCTCCCCCCCCCCCGGAAGAGGGCTCTAATGTTCTCACTGCTCCATCTTATCCCCCATTACAGTCGCACTGAAATGGCTGCCCTTCTTAACATGTGAAAGTAAAAGGTAAAGGTTCCTTTGCTCGAAAGCCAGTCGAGTCCGGCTCTAGAGTTGCGGTGCTCATCTCTGTTTCAAAGCCGAAGAGCCAGCGCTGTCCGAAGACGTTTCCATGGTCATGTGGCCGGCATGACTAAACACCAAGGCGCACGGAACGCTGTTACCTTCCCACCGAAGTAGTATCTATTTATCTACTTGCAATTTCTTGCTTTCGAACTGCTAGGTTGGCAGGAGCTGGAACTAGAGATGGGAGCTCACTCCGTCATGCGGCACCCGGGTCTCGAACTGCTGAACTACTGACCTTCCACAGCCTGCAGTTCAGCGTCTTAACCACTTGAGCCACCGCAGCTCCTAACATGTGAAGCCGTAGTCAAAAAGAGTGCCCGTGGGATGGCCTTTACCTTCATGCTGATCAGCCGCATCCGTTCCCCAGAAGAGCAAGACTTCCAACAGTGTGGTGTAATGGTTGGAGTACGGGATAAGGGCCTGGGAGACCCCAGTCCAGATCTCCACTCTGCTCTGGAAGCTTGCTGGGTAACCATGGGCCAGTCATACAATCAGACTAACCTGCCTCACAGGGTTGTTGGGAGGATAAAAATGGAAGAAAGAATGACATAAGCCACCTTAGGTTTTCATTGGGGAGAAAGGAGGGGTATAAATGAAGTATGTGATTAAATAAGTAAGTAAGTATGTAAGCCACAGAGCAAAATCCTCTCATTTTACAGAAATGTCGCTGCTTCTTCCCCACAGCCAGCTGCTGTTCAAGCTGATTCCTGTCTAAAGGGCCGTTATCTCCACCCCCCAGGGCAGCTGTATCTCGGAAGGAAACCTCTTCGGGAATGTGTGAGGTGAGCTGCGTGGATGAGGTTCAAAAACCAGCAGTGGGGAGCATGTGGCCCTCTGACCCCTCTACCTTGTTCCCCGGCAGTGGGCCTTGTGGGTCAGGTTTGGACGGACATGGGAGGGGCCCTGTGGGAGGTCATGCAAACAAGGAAACTCTTTGCCCTATGAAATTCCTTCAAGTCTAGGTGAATGTTGGAGGCAGGAAAAGGAAGGAGGGGCCAGTCAGGCCACTGAGCTGGGGAGCACGGTTATGTGGGAATGGCCGTCTGCCCTCACTCTTTGGCCAGCCCCAGTCCAAGGGATCCACTCTGGCTTTTGTCCTAGATCAACTACTTTCCCCCTGGCAATGGGAGCTGGCAACCCTAGGTGGGATGGACTTCTTCGCTGCGGGCCTCCTGCCTTCTCATTGAGTCCAACAGGGCAGATTTGTACATGGTCCTGACAGGGTTGCCAACTCCGGGTTGGGAAATTCCTGGGGATTTGGAGGTGGAGCCTGAAGAGGGTGGGGTTTGAGGAGGGGAGGGGCCTCAGCAGAATTATAATGCCTTAGATCCCACCCTCCAAAGCAGCCATGTTCTATAGGGGTACTGATCTCTACTGGCTGAAGATTGGTGTGATTCCAGGAGAACTCCAGGCCTCACCTGGATCACCATTTATCAGAGGCACAGGCTTGTACAGCTGTTGTTGTTTTTTCCACCTCACTGTCTGGGGAAAAGAGGATCAGGCCCTCACTTGCAGGTATTTCAAAAGGAAAAGCCACAAATTATGTAGAAGCGCACCCTTCATAATGGACACAATAGGTGTGCACTTTTTACTTTGGTATCAATGGAAACCAGAGCACAAACATTTCCTAAGAAGCAGCCCTTTATGAATGGCTCACCCGTGCTTCCTTCAGCCTAATGCAGGGCCCTGATTTCCTCCTGCAGATTCCCTCCTTTGGACTGAATGGTACATATTCTAATGAGCCTCACCCTGGAGAATGCTACAGTGGGGTCTGTTTACTTCTCTGTGCACGTAATGTCACCACCTGTTTGAGACTGGATTTACCTGGCTAGACTTTGAGAAAGAAAAAACTCCACCTGAGTGCCAGGCAAATATGTATGATAATAAATGATCACTCACCTGTACAAGGTGTGATCCACGGAGCGAAAGGCAGACAGTTGGTTAGATTGTGGCTGGCCAGATGTTCTCACCCGTGCAGAATTTTGTCCAGCACCAATACAAGGCTGTGGGCTGCATTCAGTTCGGAAGTTGCGGTTTGTACCGTCTGCATTAACATGCACAAGTCGGCCTTAGCTGTCCCACTAAAGCCAATGTGGAAAGGTTGTGACTTTATTTATTTGTTTGTTTATACATATGTGGAAAGGTTGTGACTTTATTTATTTATTTGTTTGTTTATACGGCGCTTTTTTCCTGGAACACAGACTCAAAGTGGCTTACAAGCATCAAAGGCATACAAAATCCAAGATAAATACAATCACTTAAAATTCTAATAACCTCACAACGTGCTCATGGTCCCATTACACACAAAAATTCAGAATGGGAGGAAAAACAAAACCCGCTGGCAGTCTGCAGGCCAATATACTCATTTGGGAGTGAACAGAAAAGGACTTCCTTCCAAGTAAATGTAATCAGCGTTCAGCTGAAAATTGCTTCACTTTGGCTGGATTACAACCGCTCTGTTAAAACAGTAGAAGTTTGGACCATCCTGAAAGAGCTGATAGATGGAGCACAAAGTGCTTTGTCATGCAATGTATGATTCACCAGTGGAACTCACTGCCACTCAATGGATCCAAAAATCTGTCAGCTAGAGATAAAGCCTCCATGTTCAGAGCCAGTCTGCCTCTGTCAGCCCATGGGGATGAATCAACAGGGAATGTTGCCATAATCCTATTAATTCACCCAGGCTGGGAGGGGGCATCGGATGGGACATTATTGGAAACGGAGGGCTATGCCTGATGGACCTTTGTGGTCTGACACTGGATGGCAATAATTATGCTTTAAAACAAGCATGGCTCTGGGTTCAAATTCTCCCTCCATTACGCTGCATCTGGTTCTGATAACAGTCTGTGGTATCAAGGTTGTCTGTGGTATCAAGGTTGGGGAGGAGAGCTGTTTCTTGCATGGGATTGACTGAGAGGCTGAATAAAACAGGAGACCAGTAACACCGTAAAGACCCACAACATTTACACGTTTATAAGGCTGACGTTCTAATGACAAATCCTTGTTGGTACATCTTCCAAAAAACAGAAGTATGCATAAGGGGCTCCCCAGGTTTTATTATATGTTTTGCATCATTTCCTGCTGCCTGCCCCCCCAAAAAACAACTTTCTTCTCGAACCTCCCTGGCTCTCTCCTTTCCATTTCAAACCACTACACCTTTTACTTTTCCCAACTTAAAATGCAGATCTTTCTTTGCTCAGATTCATGTGAGTGATTGAGGGCTGTGGATTTTGAGGGGGGGGAGGGGGCATCCCCCCCCCAACTGGAGTCTGTGCAGGACCTGTGGAGTTTTGGAGGGAGGGGGAATTAGAACATGATCTCATCACATACCCAGCTCCCAGCCCCCCCCCCATACAGTCTCTCTCTCTCTCACACACACACACATACACACATCCTTAAAATGCATCTTAAAGGGACAGAGCCCAGCATTGCAGAGAATGTGTGTCATCCTGAGCCGCCCACTTCAAAAACGCAAGGTTAAGGAAAGAGTTTTTCTGTGGCCTGCGATTTTTTTTCTTTCTTTCTTGGTTTTTTTTTTTTTTTTGAATGGAAAAGTGTGTGAGTCAAGATGTGTCACCGTTTGAAAAAACACACACGCGCCTAGACAAGAGCCCGGGTGTATATAAAGACCAATTTGTAGATTTAAAACACACACATACACATATACAAATACTGAACAGTTAAAAGCTGCTCTGGGTGACTTTTTTTTTGTAATTAATTTGGGTGTTCGTCCCCCCCCCCTTTTTAAACTGGACAAACTAGGGGGATTATAGATTTTTTTTTAACAAAATCAGGATTTTTTGGGGGGGTGACTGTTGGTTTTAAAAGTTATTATTTATTTATTTATTTATCAGCCTATTTATCTATTTATTTATTTATCTGTCCTGGAGGCAGTTGTCCTCTCAGTTTTTTTTGAGTGTGCACATACATCCATGTGTGTGAACTTCTCTACCTCAAAGGATCAAACCTCTTGCAAAGAAAGCAGACAGCAGGTGTGGAAGAAGTCTGCAACCCAAAGAAAACTTTTTTAAAAAAACAAAAGGGAGGGGAGGAAAGACAGACCCCCCCAAAAAAATGCAACTTCCAAATTAAAAACCCTGCAAGAATCCAACCAAACTCCAACCATCAGAGGACTGTTTTTGTTTTTTCTTTGACATCAAAGAAGAGGGAATTTAAACTCAGGGAAACGAAACCCTCACATCTTCCCAAAAACATGAAAAGTAAGTTTTACTCTTTAAAGTTTTTATTTTTAAAATTTTTAAAAAACAACACTTTTTTTGGATGCTGTTTAAATTAATGTTCCTGGTGCCTTGTTAAAAACTCCTGGCTTGACAGCGCAATCTGTCTCGAAATGTACAAATTGACAGATAATGTATGTGCCTCATGCACTTTGCATGATTTACGGTCTCCTATATCAAGTTTATTGCTTTTTAGTGGAGCGGTCGATTTTTGGCTTGGGTATACAGACAGTTTGCCTTATGTAACATTGCTTATGGATGGAACTTCTGGCGTCTTTAATGTTTAGGACCTATCGATGCTCTTTCTGGTTCTGGGGCTGAGGTTTGGAGGGACAGGCATCTGATTACCAGGCTTAGCTGGTTTTAAGACATCTCTCACTTGTTAGTGGTGTACACATGCAGTGGTATACACGAACCCCCAGCTGTGTACTGAAGCCTGGCTGCCTTTCTACACACCTTGGTTAAGAATTTATTGCTGCCTCCTCATCTTGGGTTCAGTCCCTTCAAAGTTAAGCTCTTTTACATCCCATTGATTTTGGAGGAAAGAGAATTCAGCTTTCTCTGCTGATGTAAAGGGCTTAATTTTGATGGAATGGTGTCAGTTTGTCATTTTTGCCTGGACCTTATTCACTTCTCCGTTTGAGCAGTTCTCTTGGCTTCTTGAGCTGGGGGGGATGGAATTTAGACCCCTTGTGCATTGCTCAAAGTGACTGGGTAGAGGTCTGATGTCTCCCCTATAAACACTTCTTTCTTTCTTTCTTTCTTTCTTTCTTTCTTTCTTTCTTTCTTTCTTTCTTTCTTTCTTTCTTCTTTCCCCTTCCCAAAATATATCTTACTGTATTTACTCAAATGCAAGACTAGGTTTTTTCCATCCCTGTTGAGCCATCAAAAGGGGGGAGGTTGTCCTACATTCACATGCAAGTTACAGTTATATGCAGCAACGATTGTTTGTACACGCATAACTTTTCCGGGGGGATGTATCTTACATTCAGAATCATCTTCCTTTCAAGTAAATCCAGTAATATGTGGCGGGGAAGGTGTCTCGTGCTCCCTGTCAGACCAGTTGGTCCAAGGTAAGTGGTCCTGGGATTGCAGCATCTTACCTGGCAATAATTAAGCTCCGTTGCTATCAGTGAGATTTATTTCCAAGGCAGACGCTTACAGAGCAAGGGGCGAGTCCAATAGGGCACAGAAGATGGAAGGCCAAAAGGCAGGTCAGAAGTTAATGTCCAAATATGCATTTAGAGGCAGGTTTTACATATCTTGGTTAAGGTCTCAGTACAACGTGAAAGGAGCACAGACCCTCCCTGTCATTATCGATTCACATTGCGTACTTCCCCCCCCCCAATAATCACAACCAAAGCTCACCCTAGACTCCTTTTGCCACCATAGAAAAGGCAGTGGTCTGTAACGAGCACAGCAAGAGGAGGTTCAAGTCCCTATTTAGCCATGATGCTTGGGCCAATCGTTATCTTTCAGCCGAACCTGTCGCACAGGCTTCTTGGGAACATGTGTGCCCTTATTTTTGTCTTTAGTACCTTTATCTCCTGCCTTTCCTCCTCCAGGGGTGGTGGACAGCATTCTCCCCTCCTCACCACAACAACCCTGTGAGGTAGGTTAGGCTGGGAAGGAGTGACAGTCCCAAGCAGTGTTCCCTCTAAGCTAAGTTAGTGTGAGCTAGCTCACAGTTTTTTAGCCTCCAGCTCACACATTTTTGTCTTAGCTCAGAAAGGATGGCTCCAGAGGAAACTAACTTATGCAGTGGCCAAATCACTCACTCACAACTTTAATGCCAATAGCTCACAAAGTAGAATTTTTGCTCAGAAAACTCCACAGCTTAGAGGGAACATTGGTCCCAAGGTCATCCTTGGCTTCCATGGCAGAGCGGGGATTGGAACCTGTGTCTTCCAGACCTTAGTCCAACACCCTAACCACTACACCAAGCCGGGCGTCTTCTTAGAACAAGAGTGCTGAGGTCAAATATAATGAATCCCTGTAATTTCGTTTCCTGGCGACCCCCTCTCCCACCAAAGGCAAATCTGCCCTTTTCATACATACGTAACACCCCCCCGCCTCCCCTGCCATAGCCAGCATCCAGGGCCGGCCCCAGTTTATTTTGCACCCTAGGCGAGGATCCCTTCTGGCGCCCCCCCCAACCTGTGTCTTCCAGACCTTAGTCCAACACCCTAACCACTACACCAAGCCGGGCGTCTTCTTAGAACAAGAGTGCTGAGGTCAAATATAATGAATCCCTGTAATTTCGTTTCCTGGCAACCCCCTCTCCCACAAAAGGCAAATCTGCCCCTTTCATACAGACGTAACCCCCCTCCGCCTCCCCCACCATAGCCAGCATCTTATCCCAGGTGACATGTGCCTGCCTGTTTTTGTTCGCATCACTCAGCTGCCATCAGTGCTCCCTTCACGCGACATACAAACACCCGTTCTTTCTTCAAGAGCAGAGACGTTCCGTGGCATCTCAGCCTGATATACGGGAGTGATACATCGGAGCCAGTCTTGTGGAGTGGTTAAAACGTGGGACTAGGATCTCAGATTGCCAGGTCCCCCTGGCCACCAGCGGAAGACGGGAAGGAAGGGTTGCCAGCTCCAGGTCAGGAAGCTCCTGGAGATTTGGGGATGGAGCCTGGGGGTGACAGGGGCCTCAGTAGGGTACAGTGCCACAAAGTCCACCCTCCAAAGCATCCGTTTTCTCCAGGGGAACTGATCTCTGTAGTCTGGAGATGAGCTATAATTCCAGGGGGTCCCCAGGCCCCACCTGGAGGCTGGCATCTCTATCTGGAAGACCCAGGTTTAATTCTCCACTGTGCTATGGACGCTTGCTGGGTGATCTTGGGCCATTCGCCCACTCTCGATCTAATCTGCCTCACAGGGGTGTTGTGAGAATGACATGAAGAGGAGGAGAATGATGTAAGCCCCTTTGGTTGCAATCAGAGAGAAAGGTGGGGAGGTATTAATGAAGCAAAGAAATAGAATAGTGACTGGCTACACATCAGCCGGGGCTGATCCACACATACGTGTCAACTAGGGTTGCCAAGTCTGGATTGGAAAATACCTGGAGACTTTGGGGGTGGAGCCAGGAAAGGGCGGGGTTTGGGGAGGGGAGGGGCCTTGGCATGGTACAATGCCATAGAGTCCACCTTCAGAGCCGCCATTATCTCCAGGGGAGCTGATCTCTGTCAGCTGGAGATCAGTTGTAAAAGCAGGAGATCCCCAGGTCCCACCTGGAGGTTGGCAACTCTAGTGTCAACCCCTGAGTGACACTGCCATTTGTGTGTGTGTGTGTGAATGAACCATCATAGATGAATAGAGCTTTCATTATTACCACAGCCAACACTGGGCGTTTGGGAGAGAGAAACCCATTCACCCATTCATCCGGGAGATCTCAAGGGACAGATTACCTATCAACCAATAAGAATTCAAGCGATGTTCTTATATGTGCGCGCCCATTCCTGCAGTCTTCATAATGCTGCTCTTGCTCACAAGACGAAAGAGGAAACCAATATGTACGTTTTGGGCAGTGTTGCGGTCGCTGTCACATGTTACGTCAGCATGGTCAGGGACCCACATGGCTGCAGGAAGGTATCAGTCAGCTCCCCAGATGGGTCTGCTGAGCCGTGTGCCAAGTTCCCATGCAGCACCAGCTCCAGACAGGGGTGGTGATGACACAGGCGCTTGCCGTGGGAGCTGGCCAAGCAGCAACCCATCAGAATAACCAGCCAGATCTCCAGCACTGCTCTTTGAGTCTTCAATACGTTTTCTCGGCAACGCTGGCTCTCCCACCCCCTGCCCAACCAGTGGAATGAGCTGCTGTTTGAGCAACAGAGGTAGGCCAATATAGTTGGGAAGGAGTCTTTGAATCTTTCCAAAGGCCACCTAGGGAATTTATGTCTGAGGAGAGATTTGAACCAGAGACTTCCTAGCTCGGACAGCACCAGAAATTAAGCAGCCATACTTGGTGTGTGCTAGGAGGCATGGCAGGATCACATGACCTCCCTTCTCCGTCTAGTTTTCCAAGCTTCTCGACTGGCAGGAGCATCCTTGATTTGAAACTTTTAACGCGCACACACACATTTTATAATCGTGGTTTGTTCTTCTGAAGACTCCTGTGGCATTTAACAGAGATATACCTCCCAGCACCCTGACATGGATGGCCGAGGCTAGCGTGATCTGGTTGGATCACAGAAGCGAAGCTGTTTCAGCCCTGGTTAGTACTTGGAAGGGAGACCACCAAGGAAGTCCAGGGTCCCTACGCAGAGGGAGGCAACAGCAAACCCACCTCTGTTTGTCTCTTCCCTTGAAAGGCCTATGAGGTAGCCATTCATAGATTCATAGAATGTTAGAGTTGGAAGGCACCTCGCAGGTCATCTAGTCCAACCCCTGCACACTGCAGGAGCGTAGCCGAAAGATAGTCCTACAACATACCTGAAAGATGGTAGTCCAGCCTCTGCTTGAAAACGTCCAGCGAAGGAACATCCACTCCTGAGGCAGTCTGTTCCACTGCTGATCCACTCTTACAGTTAGGAAGTTTCTCCTGATAATTAGCCAGTAACGACTCCCTTGTAATATCCACCCATTAGATCTAGTCTTGCAATCTGGAGCAAGAGAGAATAGATCCACTCCATCTTCTACATGACAGCCCTTCAAATACTTGAAGACTGCAATCATGTCCCCTCTAAGTCTTCTCTTTCCCAGGCTAAACATACCCAAATAGACTTCAGTTTGATGGCAGTTTCCACTCTACCTCACAGAACTTTAAAGGGCCAGAGTTTAATGGTGAAGGACGTGAAGAGGCTTCCCTTTGGAAGGTTAGGATGGTGCCTTCCCTGCAGTTCCTCTCCCCTCCTCTTCCCCCTGCCCATGAGGATGTGCGGCTGTTTGGGCAAGTCCAAAATGTGTGTTCCTTCTGTAAATCCATTCCCATCAAACACAATCATAGTTTCATAAAGATTCCCTTTTGTCGGATG